ATGTTCTTTAGTACATCTACCCTTATACAATCACAATGGCTGTAATGGAGTGGATAGTGGATACTGCCGCAGGCTGTGTTATTATACTGGGGAGTTGGCTCTGTTGCTGTAACTGCACTCTTCCATGTTCTTTAGTACATCTACTCTTATACAATCACAATGGCTGTAATGGAGCGGATAGTGGATACTGCCGCAGGCTGTGTTATTATACTGGGGAGTTGGCTCTGTTGCTGTAACTGCACTCTTCCATGTTCTTTAGTACATCTACTCTTATACAATCACAATGGCTGTAATGGAGTGGATAGTGGATACTGCCGCAGGCTGTGTTATTATACTGGAGAGTTGGCTCTGTTGCTGTAACTAAACTCTTCCATGTTCTTTAGTACATCTACTCTTATACAATCACAATGGCTGTAATGGAGTGGATAGTGGATACTGCCGCAGGCTGTGTTATTATGCTGGAGAGTTGGCTCTGTTGCTGTAACTGCACTCTTTCATGTTCTTTACTACATCTACCCTTATACAATCACAATGGCTTTAATGGAGTGGATAGTGGATACTGCCGCAGGCTGTGTTATTATACTGGAGAGTTGGCTCTGTTGCTGTAACTGCACTCTTCCACGTTCTTTAGTACATCTACCCTTATACAATCACAATGGCTGTAATGGAGTGGATAGTGGATACTGCCGCAGGCTGTGTTATTATACTGGGGAGTTGGCTCTGTTGCTGTAACTGCACTCTTCCATGTTCTTTAGTACATTTACTCTTATACAATCACAATGGCTGTAATGGAGTGGATAGTGGATACTGCCGCAGGCTGTGTTATTATACTGGAGAGTTGGCTCTGTTGCTGTAACTAAACTCTTCCATGTTCTTTAGTACATCTACTCTTATACAATCACAATGGCTGTAATGGAGTGGATAGTGGATACTGCCGCAGGCTGTGTTATTATACTGGGGAGTTGGCTCTGTTGCTGTAACTGCACTCTTCCACGTTCTTTAGTACATCTACCCTTATACAATCACAATGGCTGTAATGGAGTGGATAGTGGATACTGCCGCAGGCTGTGTTATTATACTGGAGAGTTGGCTCTGTTGCTGTAACTGCACTCTTCCACGTTCTTTAGTACATCTACTCTTATACAATCACAATGGCTGTAATGGAATGGATAGTGGATACTGCCGCAGGCTGTGTTATTATACTGGAGAGTTGGCTCTGTTGCTGTAACTGCACTCTTCCACGTTCTTTAGTACATCTACTCTTATACAATCACAATGGCTGTAATGGAGTGGATAGTGGATACTGCCGCAGGCTGTGTTATTATACTGGGGAGTTGGCTCTGTTGCTGTAACTGCACTCTTCCATGTTCTTTAGTACATCTACTCTTATACAATCACAATGGCTGTAATGGAGTGGATAGTGGATACTGCCGCAGGCTGTGTTATTATACTGGAGAGTTGGCTCTGTTGCTGTAACTGCACTCTTCCACGTTCTTTAGTACATCTACCCTTATACAATCACAATGGCTGTAATGGAGCGGATAGTGGATACTGCCGCAGGCTGTGTTATTATACTGGAGAGTTGGCTCTGTTGCTGTAACTGCACTCTTCAGCGTTCTTTAGTACATCTACTCTTATACAATCACAATGGCTGTAATGGAGCGGATAGTGGATACTGCCGCAGGCTGTGTTATTATACTGGGGAGTTGGCTCTGTTGCTGTAACTGCACTCTTCAGCGTTCTTTAGTACATCTACTCTTATACAATCACAATGGCTGTAATGGAGTGGATAGTGGATACTGCCGCAGGCTGTGTTATTATACTGGAGAGTTGGCTCTGTTGCTGTAACTGCACTCTTCCACGGTCTTTAGTACATCTACCCTTATACAATCATAATGGCTGTAATGGAGTGGATAGTGGATACTGCCGCAGGCTGTGTTATTATACTGGGGAGTTGGCGCTGTTGCTGTAACTGCACTCTTCCACGGTCTTTAGTACATCTACCCTTATACAATCATAATGGCTGTAATGGAGTGGATAGTGGATACTGCCGCAGGCTGTGTTATTATGCTGGGGAGTTGGCGCTGTTGCTGTAACTGCACTCTTCCACGTTCTTTAGTACATCTACTCTTATACAATCATAATGGCTGTAATGGAGTGGATAGTGGATACTGCCGCAGGCTGTGTTATTATACTGGGGAGTTGGCTCTGTTGCTGTAACTCCACTCTTCCACGTTCTTTAGTACATCTACCCTTATACAATCACAATGGCTGTAATGGAGTGGATAGTGGATACTGCCGCAGGCTGTGTTATTATACTGGGGAGTTGGCTCTGTTGCTGTAACTGCACTCTTTCATGTTCTTTACTACATCTACCCTTATACAATCACAATGGCTTTAATGGAGTGGATAGTGGATACTGCCGCAGGCTGTGTTATTATACTGGAGAGTTGGCTCTGTTGCTGTAACTGCACTCTTCCACGTTCTTTAGTACATCTACCCTTATACAATCACAATGGCTGTAATGGAGTGGATAGTGGATACTGCCGCAGGCTGTGTTATTATACTGGAGAGTTGGCTCTGTTGCTGTAACTGCACTCTTCCACTTTCTTTAGTACATCTACCCTTATACAATCACAATGGCTGTAATGGAGTGGATAGTGGATACTGCCGCAGGCTGTGTTATTATACTGGAGAGTTGGCTCTGTTGCTGTAACTGCACTCTTCCACGTTCTTTAGTACATCTACCCTTATACAATCACAATGGCTGTAATGGAGTGGATAGTGGATACTGCCGCAGGCTGTGTTATTATACTGGAGAGTTGGCTCTGTTGCTGTAACTGCACTCTTCCACGTTCTTTAGTACATCTACTCTTATATAATCACAATGGCTGTAATGGAGTGGATAGTGGATACTGCCGCAGGCTGTGTTATTATACTGGAGAGTTGGCTCTGTTGCTGTAACTGCACTCTTCCACGGTCTTTAGTACATCTACCCTTATACAATCATAATGGCTGTAATGGAGTGGATAGTGGATACTGCCGCAGGCTGTGTTATTATGCTGGGGAGTTGGCGCTGTTGCTGTAACTGCACTCTTCCACGGTCTTTAGTACATCTACCCTTATACAATCACAATGGCTGTAATGGAGCGGATAGTGGATACTGCCGCAGGCTGTGTTATTATGCTGGGGAGTTGGCGCTGTTGCTGTAACTGCACTCTTCCACGGTCTTTAGTACATCTACCCTTATACAATCGTAATGGCTGTAATGGAGTGGATAGTGGATACTGCCGCAGGCTGTGTTATTATACTGGGGAGTTGGCTCTGTTGCTGTAACTGCACTCTGCCATGTTCTTTAGTACATCTACTCTTATACGGGGTTAGGCAAAAGTCTGGAACACCCAGTTAACTTTTTAACGCGTTGCAGTAGGAAAACAAAACTTGGCACATATTTACAACATATGAAATTGCACTTTTTAATCAAAGTTACAACTTTGCCCCAGGCCCCAAAATGGGGTATTTTGAGGGCAGCCCCAAATTTTTTAATGTAAACACCTATCATTTGACCCTTCGTTTTAAAGGGTTTATTAAGAGAAATAGAATTGTGAAAGCTAGAGGTCAATATCGCACCCCTAATAAAATGACAGCCATTTTAATTATTTAAGATGAGCAAGCAAGATAAAGTCTGGACCACCTCCAGGTAACTTTAAAAATTTAATATTTTAATACTGACCAAAAGGTGATTTTTTTATAAAGGTATGCTGAGTTTAGTTTTCCTGTTATAACCTGTTAAAAAGTTATTGGGGATATTTAAAAATGACTGCCATTATGATTAGGGGTGCGATATTGACCTCTAGTTTGTGCCATTTAATTTGTCTTGAGAAGCCCTTTAAAATGAGGGGTCACATGATAGGTGTTTACATTTGAAAATTTGGGCCTGTCCCAAAAATACCCCGGGGCTGGGCACAAGTTCTATCTTTGATGAAAAAGTACATTTTTTAATGTTGTAAACATGTGCCGAGTTTGGTTTTCCCACTGCCACACGTTATAAAGTAAACTGGGGGTGTCCAGACTTTATCTTGCTTGCTCATCTTAAATTAAAATGGCTGCCATTTTGATTAGGGGTGTGATATTGACCTCTATTTTGCGCTATTCAATTTCTCTTGATAAACCCTTTAAAATGAGGGGTCACGTGATAGGTGTTTACATTTCAAAATTTCGGGCTGCCCCCAAAACACCCCATTTTGGGGGCTGGGGCAAAGTTGTAACTTCAATGAAAAAGTGCAATTTTTTATGTTGTAAATATGTACCGAGTTTGGTTTTCCTACTGGAACGTGTTAAAAAGTTAACTGGGGGGTTCCAGACTTTTGCCTAACCCTGTATAATGTCGTATCAGTGTTAGGGATTTTTAAATAAATTTTTTATAGCTTGGGCATAGCAGAGGTATAGCTTCTATTTACATTTGAATCTAATAAATCAACCAAATACAAAGTTAATGTTAGTTTATAAGCGATATGTTTGTTGTTTATTGCCTTTGCTATCACATAAGAATGGGCATGGTAAAAAAATTGCTGTTCAAATTGTAATTTTCTAGTGTTGCAGATAATTTAATTAGTTTGTTTTACAACTTATTTTGCTGATTGTGATAAGTAAAATCATGTATATATTTACATATTATATAGCTAACTCACATGATCAACTATTTTCATTTATAATTTAATTTATTTGGTGGGTTATTTAAGATAACAATGAATCTTGAATCCAATCAAGGTTTCCGTCTGTTTATCGTCAGCAGAGTGTGGGAGTCGGGGTGAATGACTGGACGACCTCAGGCAGTGAACGCAATGTGCTGAAGGTGGATCATACAAAAAAAAGTAATGTAGAGTGTGTGTATTACCTGTAGTTCTGTGAATGAATAGACAATGTGCTGCAGGTGGCTCATAGTCACTCTCGGGATAGCAACAACATTAGTAATGTGGAGAGAGTGTGTGATGTGTTACCTGTAGTTCTGTGAGGCGAGATACAGAGCCTGTAGAGGAAGACATGTTGCAGCTAATGCCCTGCATTGCAGCCATCTCACTCTGTAACATAATTACATAACATTATGCAAATATACAAACTACATCAATATGTGTCTAGCACTCTTTAAAATACACAAATAACAATCTTGTCATACATCTTGTCGTACCTAGGGCCGAAAATGAGGTTTTGCCGGTTCGAGATAGTTTTTAAGTTCGAGACGAAGTCGAGAACTTAAATCGATTGAGAGCTGCAAAACCATTTCGGTCCGTGGTACGAACACTATTTTTCACCACAATATACCCTATTACCACTATTCACCAGTATAATAAATAATGCACACTGAGAGTCATCACAACTACAACTTAAGGTTATGTGAAGAAATAATTTGAGGAATCAGCAAAAATAAAAATAAATAGTTGCCAGGCAACGGTTACAATAACACAATTCTATTGCAATGCTATGGATTTTGATTGTGTATTTAAAATGCATTCATGTTTTAAGTAAGTAAGCGGACAGCTGATTTTGCGGCCCCGGGATGTAAAAACCTGCTCGGTCCCCAAATTACGACGACACAAACTCTCAGCCACCAATTATCGTATGTAATACAGCAAAAAACATCATAGTGTGGTGAAAAAAACAATTAAGGATTAAAGTTATTAAGCACTATTTTAATAATTCTTTTTAAACAACAAATCCATGCCATATAGTAGAGAGAGTAGGACTAGGACTGTTATTGTTGTGCATTAAAGTCAAGTAATTGAATAAAAACTGAGGTAGGTGATAAAAAAACATGTTTGAACTTAGCACTGTTAAAACTATTTAACATAAACTCTGAACTTTGACTTGAAATACATGTAACATTATAAAAATTAAGTAAGTACAAAAGCTGTTTCAGAAAGTAGGGAAGGGGCAAATTAACATTAATTACTGAAAAATACAATAGTCATCAAAATAAAATGTCCTGTGTTATAACGAGACGAATTAACACAGTCCATCAGGTTTTAAATATTTAAAATATAGCGTTTAATATTTTAACATTATAAAAACATTTCTCTATTTGATTATGTTATGATAAATATTAAAATAAATTACATATTCAACTATGTCTTTAAATTAAATATTTAATTGATTATCATAGTAAAATACTTATTATACTAAATAATATTTTACGTCGTGGGGATTAATCTAATCAGTTATTCTGCTGACATCACGTACACATCGGGCCTAGAGGTGACAATACATTTGAAGTAAGTGGTTCCCGTAATAATACATCAGAATTGATTAGTCAAATCAAAGTGACTTCTCTGGCAAAGTCCCGGAGTTCCTGGCTAAACAGGATCTCCCGGTCACGTCCCGTATGGATGACGCTAAAATTTACTTTTCAAAATGAATTCAACATCGATGCTAGGCACGCACCGGGTTCTCTTCTTCAATCATCCTGAACAGAAACCCGTACTTATTTTATCACTTCACTTTCTGTCCGGTTAAATGCACAACATTGGAAATTTTCTGTACCATACCATTATAAGGTATGAAGTTTAGTGATTAACACAATGGATTGTTATTAATCACTAATTGATTCAATTTCAAAAAGTATAACATTTACATGATAAAACAAAACGTTTTTAATTATGAGTAAACAAGTGAACAACATTTTTGCGATGCGGATAGGTATAGCCTAACAGTTCTACATACTTTTAATAATGTTTCGAAACTAAAACGCTCACTACGTAGAATTGGGTATATCATTAAAAAATCAAAACAAAAACCGTATGTAATTATACAAGCCAAGTTACAAGTTATGTAATTTGTTACTTTTAATTACTTATTTATGAATACCAAAGTGGTACTAAATAAAGGAAAAAGGTTAAAATAAATTGTCCCATAAGTTTGACTTGGTTACTAAGTCTGCATATTCAACAGAAATCAGTAATTTATTTCAGCGCAATCTGTTGGAGGTTTACTTCAATTACGCCCGTAAAAAACACAAAACTGGAGACACATTTTTCCATGGGGATGGAATATCTAGTTCTATAAACAGCCAAACATGAAAATAATCATACATTTTACATTGCAGATAGGTATAGTTTCGAATCATCAAAAAGCTACTCCCTTTTATGACGATCTAACCGGAGATATTTGATTTTTAGGCGAGAACCATAGCCACTCAAATACTAATGTGAAATACATAACAAAGCATAATATGGTTTTTCAGGTAGAAGACGGACCTTGATCATCTTTCAACAACATAGATATATCCATATATCTCAAATATACTGTTCAAGTCCACGCATTGATATAAACTTAAAGCAAATGGCAAATAAACAATATTTTTTACTAGACCAATCAACTACAACACCCGTAGTAACGGACAGAGTGTAGCCCTGCTGTGTTGAGATTGGTTGAGATGTTGCTCAGTAAAGCTCGGTCCATTTACAGCGACGGGCCGAGGTTTGGGTTTGAATATGGCACCTGGCACCTATCGATGGTGATCGGTTATATAATGCGACACAGGTTCCAGATAAACATTACCATTATTGGAAATCTGCTTAATCGACGTCCTTGTCTGATACTTCTGTCCATAAACGATTTCTTCTTGTTTGTTGTCCAGAAAAGTTTCTATTCGCTATAAGCGAGTTTTAATGAACTTAGGCAGCTTGGGTTTACAAAACGGATAATTGTTTCAGTACTACACGTTAGTTCGTTAGTTTATCAACCCTACATTTTATTTTTTCAATGAGAGGCGAAAGTTGTTACGGCTTTAGCATAACTAAATATTATATTGGTTAAATAAATTGAGTATATTTATTAAAATTAACTTCGACGATATTGTATAGCTCTTTTATCTGACGAACTTACAATTTCCCTGCCCACGAGTTGACAAGTTTTTCATAACCTTGGTTTAATGTTCAAGCAGTAAATATTTAAATGATTAAGTATAAAAAATGGATGTTAACTTTTTGTAATATTTCGATAAATATAAGTTATTAAGTGAATTTAATAGTAGTTTTATGTGACTAATTGTCTTGGTCTAATGTTCTAACAATTTAGTAATATATTTATACTAGCTGACCCGGCGAACATCGTATCGCCTAAGTTATAGGTTTCCCCTAAGACAGACCGATGAAAAGAAAGTACCGTTACGTTTAATTTTCAAGATGATCTCGTTCGCATCGCTCAATCACGTCCTGGTTGAAGTTCGTTCGCTACGCTCACTCACCTTTGGGTTGAAGTTCGTTCGCTACGCTCACTCACCTTTAGGTTGGAGCTCGTTCGCTGCGCTCACTTGCCTTTTGGTTGCAAATTAGCTGTTGTCATAAATGTAAAAGAAATAATAGTGCTGCACCCTGTTGGTAATCCTTGTAACTTCAATGCTATTGAACATCATAGAACAGAACCAACTTGTTTAATTGAAACAGCTGTTAAGATTCATTAATTCCATTTCTCATAAGGTTAACATGGGAAACTCCAGAGCCACTGGGGCGGAGCCCTTTTAAGAATTTCGAAACGGGAAATAGTTTACGTCCGATTCGCATACCTACAGAATTTACACACCAAATTTCATAACGATCGATGAAGTCGTTCCGGAGGAGTTTGCAGACAAACACTGTGACACGAGAATTTTATATATTAGATGTTTTGTATAGTCTTCTCATCCAATGTAAAACAATTCCAAAATCGATTAAATTGTGCATATAGCAAAGTTAACTAAGACGCACACATTCTTGTTTGTTTTGCCTGGATACAGTCTTTGGACAGATCCCCTCTGTACTTCTGCATAGTGTTGTATTCAATCACATAAATACAATTAGAAACAGAAATATATTTTAAAATCTACTTAAAAAAAAAATGATATTGAAATTACAGCTATCAAAATACCGAATCAAATTGAAGTCACCGAATCAAAAAACACTGACGTCACTACCGGGTGTATCATCAGTTGTTGCAAGACCAAACTGTTGCAACCTTCATGTCATTGTGTCGACTGACTCAACGACCTCGGGTCATGCCGAGAACATCTCCTCACCCCCTCCACACTATACATAGACTTGCACTGTTACACCTCAGGCTACTGGCTACTGTATAGCTTATTACTTCTCTAAAGTTTACTTTCGGGCCAGTGACGTCATTTGTGTATGATTATGATCCACAGCATTTATTTTGTAATATCCGTGGACTTACCCCGGATACCGGTATACATTCAGTGACGTCCTTAAAGTATTAAACAGAATGGTAGTTATAAGCGGTATCTTAGCTGTGGAAACAACAAACTATGCTTCAGATATATCTATCAATATATTTGTTTCGCGCTGTCTGTTTTTGTCCATCTTTGTAAAATAAGATTTTTGTTGTATAATTAGCATCTTCACTGTTTATTTATGTTTGTTTTAACTAATTCAGGTTCACGCAACCTCAACATAACATACTCCATAATGGGATTTAGCATTTTTATATATGCGTGAAGGCGATTTCTACTAAACACTACTCCTCCATTAATAATGGACGGATTTTAACAAACGATGTGTCAAAATTAAGTAATTTTTGTGTAGAGGCCCCCTTTCACCGATTCCTGTATTAAAAGTTTTCGGGCTTTGCCCCACAGGCCATAAAAATTTCTTATGAAGAAATTTTACTAACACAGCTGTTTTATAAATCTTACTTCAGTTGTGGAATGTGTCAAGATAATTTGCGTCATGTGTACATGTTGTTAGAATTATTCTCTACTGTATTCTAACCCTGTAGCGAAGCACGGACAGAGCAACTAGTATAATAACTAAACAACAGATGTACCGTTTCCTCTGGTATATTATGCACTAGAGTCTACCAAATCAACTCATTCATTGTAAATTTACAGATGACAAATATTTTTTGTTCAAATATATTTGTTGCTCCAATAGCCTACTCAACACTATTCCAGTGGTCATCCGTAAAAATCCTGATAACCAGAGGTGCTATTGAGGCGAAACAAATGCATCATCAAGGGAATTGTAACTATATAACCTTATAAATATATAAAGGAATTGAAGGTTTATAGGTCAAATTCTCTTGATGATGCATT